ACCACGAAACAAATATACATTGTTAATAGATAACAAGAATTGAAATATGTATATAATCTATGTGTGTTTGAGTACAGTATATGTGATATGGTTAGAAATGGATTCGATTTTATCGATTTGGTCGTTTGATTCCGTGCTGATCATCATTGTATTATATATAATAATAATGTATTTATTCTATCATTCAACGTAAATAATGGCTGCTGCCCCCGAAAATGCGGCAGTCTGAAGAGCTGTCAGCCGTTGTGAAACTTCCGAAACTTTTATTTTTATTGCCACAAAATATGTCCATATAAATAAATAAGTTGATTGCAAACTGTTAACCATTATTCGCGCAATGAGAACAAACACGCGCCACTCTATGATGGTTCCATGTTGTGTGTTGTATATCACCAATTTCTATTTACATGTACACAATTGACAGTTTATAATGCGTGTCATAAAGCGAACGTCATGTCACTTACAAACAAATGATGCGAAACAAACTTTAATGACAACGAACAGGCCACATCGAAAGAACAACACACGACAGCCGCCCAACTCCAAAATGCTTACCATCATTGTATAGCAAACGAATCAACGAAAGCTTGATGAATGTTATATGAAAGCGCTTATCCGTGCCGTGTGTTGCGCGTGCGAGTCGACACCATCGAACCTCGATTCAATGAAAGAAGACTAGGCCAAACGAATATGACTCTATTAAATTTTAATTGAATAATTATGTCAGAGTTTAATGTGTTTTGACGTTAAAATATTGATCATTGAATATGCTCTGTATCTCTCACGCGCACAATTCAGTTTTCTCGCATTCTCTTCATCGGCCAAATAACTTTTAGACGATTTTTCGGCGATAAGTCATTTCCCATCGGGACATTTCGATAGATGTTGCACTGACAAATGGCTTCGAGAGCGCTTTTCTCATTCCTTTATTATCAAAGTCACATGGCTTCCATTAAAATTACGTTCTCTCGCATTTATTCGTTTTATATTCATTTGATTTTAAAATATTCTCGTCGATAAACTGGAACTGAATCATAAATTAAATGCGAACCACTGAAACAGGCCATATGCATATTTTAAACTGTGAACACCAATCAACATCAGTTTTGTTACTGTTTTCTTTGGCTTATTTTTTTTTTTGTTATTGTTGTTGACTACAATTTTTCTGCTGCAGCGTCAATGCAATCAATATGCAATGCACAAACATTATTTGCCGAAAACAAAACGAAAAAATTACGGGTTAAAATCCAATCTGTGTACACTAAAACCAAAACTAGGTTAATAATGAATATAAATTGTTATTCTTTCTCTCTCTCACACATACACACACACTCTCTCTTTGTTAAATTCGTAGCGATAGAGCGGAAGCTGATTGGAATTTAACGATAATTATATGAGATTATCGAATGCTATAATCCCGGTTTTTATCCCGCATCAAGATCCATGTATTGCTATCAATCTACTCTACGGGATGAAAAGGTTTTACATTTTAATTATGCATTGTTGACATCATCGGGGGCAAAGTTTAATGTGTGTAAGAGTGCCTTGGATGGCAATGCTGTAAATGGAAGCCCAAAATTATTTTACACACAACCGAATATATAATTTTTCGAATGAAAAATAAAATCCGATATGCCATACATATTGAATGAATTATGTGTGTATTTTATACGTGTATACGATTGCAACTAATCTGTGTTGTTCTATATTTTATGTTTCACGATACGGTTCCAAAGCAGCAATTTGGGAAGAATGTTCGAAATGAATCGAAATCTCTGCAGTCGAATTTTCTGAAATGGGAATGGTAAATCCATGTGCTCTGTTTTGGTTTGTTCGATGGCGAACACACGTACACACACACACCACACACAATGAGAGAAAGAGCCAAAACATGTGCTAAAAGATATTGATTTTGTTAAGGGGAAATTATGTCAGTCATAAAAGAAAGACTGCTTTAAGAGCCTTGACGATGGTGGAACAAGAATATTACGGTGTTTTTTTTTTCTTCTTTTCTTTGGCAAAATCGACAACTGAAAAAAAAACACTGAAATCCAACGGAATTTGGAAAAAAGGAAAGAAAATGCGGCGATTGAAGCAACGATAAGATATAAAAGCACAAAAAGAGACGGAACACATTTCAAAGCCATAAATTAAAGGGAGTTTATTCATTTATTAATGTGTCTAATTTTAAGTAGTGTGCACTTCTCGCGTACACCGGTCATCAAACAACCACATTCTCTAACCATTTCCATCTAATATTTCATTCATTCACTTGAATATTTCAATTAAATGTGGTGCAAAAGCCATTTCTCATAATAACGCATTCTTCATCGTCGACGTCGACGTCGTCGTTTCCATCGTTGTAGTCATTGTGAAGTCTAGAGCCACTTGAAAGTATGACACATTTTTACGTCAAACATCCGAACAAAATTATGCTGAATTTTGAATATATTTTATTTTAATTTTAATTTACATATTTCGTTGAGCATCACATGGCAAAGGAACAGTGGTAAAGAAAAACCGAAAAAATGAAAGAAAGAAGAATGAATGGCGACGCGCTCCCTTGAAAGGCCAATGTATTTGCAATTTGACACCGTGGTGTGCCCGTGTGCCATTTTTTATGCCGTTTGCAGTACGCGTTTTTATTACACACAATAAAAACTGGAATTAATGTTTCAACATCACCGAGGATATGAAGTGAAGCAATGTTCGCGGCATTTATGTGAATTTAAATGTGGGGATTCCAAAACTCAATAGCCATCTGAGTGTATGGATCATAGTGCTTTACGTTATTCTTACTTTCTCCGTTTTATTTTTATTCCAATGACACAACGCATCGAAAGCTGAGCGCCGAGTACTCAAGCAAGGTACCAAGAGCCAGCGACCAAGAAAACATGCGAGAGGGGGTGAGAGAGAGATATACCAATAATTTGATGAAAGAAAATATGTGAAATTAAAAACCATACAGATATACGTATGCGAACAGAAGTAAACGGTTTGCTCACTGAAATTTTACAGCAGCGTCAGGTTTACTTAACTCAGTTATGTGTTATTTTGCGACTTCTTCTTCTTCTTCTTCCATTTTTTTCTTTGCTGAATGCTTTTTTTTGGTTTGTTCGCTCTCCCATACATACATGCACGCTTAAAAGCTCTGCATTGCATCATATTATGTCAAACAGCGAATATCGCATACAGAACTTCCACCGATACATAATTTTGCTTTATTATTTATGAAAATTGTTGGTAAATTCTTTTTTTTCCGTCTCATTCACTCCCTTTTTTCTTTCATTTTATTTCTTTCTCTTTTTCTCCTCGATTTTCCCTGCATTACATTTGTCTCGCACTCTCAATGCATGCGTTTAAATTCTTATTATTACTACATTTTTTTATTGTTGCTGCAAACGAATTTGAATAGTTTAAGAATAAAATTAACGTATGAATTTATTTTGTTGTGACGTTAAACGGTTTGAATAAATTTTACGGTGCCCCCTCGGTGAGGTTGCATGTAAAGAAGACACACACAAAACACAATTTGTATGAGCGCAAACTAAATTGTGAGTGTTCGAATTTGCGGAAAATTGAATCAAGTTTTTGTGTATATGTTTGTGTGTCTGCATGTTTGAATGGATGGAAGTTAAAGAGTGAAAAAAATAATAAAGTTTTGTGTATCCTTTTTTTCCCTTCCATATATGCCATCTCAATCGAAAATATGTATGATGCGGAAAGTTTGAGGAGCAAACGCAAAGTGCAATTGAGAGGAAAATCAAACGAAGAATACGGCGACCAAAAATTTTTTTACGGTCAGCATGTAAATCTGTCATACTGAAACAAAAGCATCGAGTTGAAAGAAAATGAATAAAAAAAATATATGTGATGATGTACATAGTTGAAATACAAGTGGCAAAAGAAAAACGCAAACGAACCGAATATGTAAAATGAATATATCGAATGTGTTTGCACAAAATTGATGCGAGAGAGACAGAGACAGAGAATCGGTGTATGCGTGCTGACTGTATCTGTGTTAGATAGTCTCTCTATCATCCCCTTCGTATTGCGGCAGTTTGACTTCGCTTATCCAATGGCATACATTTCTATCAGCTCTCTTTGCTGTGCTTTGTACGTACATCGGTACGAGATACAAAGATTTTCGTCTTCTTTTTTTCAGTTTTTCTTCTCTTCGTCTGCTGCTGTCGCTTTACTTTTTTTTGTCTTTTTCTTTGGGTTTCTACATGAGCATACATAATGCATACATTTATATGACATTATGTGACACGAGCGAGTGAAAAACCAAAAGCACAAGCACACAAAAGCGATGGCACACAAAAAAAGCGACGGCAAAGAGAAAAAAAAACAACAACGAAAAAATATTCTTGTATATCTTTATGTTTGATACAGGTTTAATGTTATTCGGTTATATTGCGCGTACATTTTCTATATGGCATATGCTGATACTCGCATACTCTTGCTTGCTCATCCTCTAGAAAGAAGCAAAAAAAAGCATGCAGAACATTTCATTTGAAATATAGATATCCGCCATTTTGAACGAGAAAAAAAAATAAACTAGATTCACTCGAAATTTAGTTGTCAGTCGGTCGTGTGTCAAAATGATGCACTTTCATTACATTCCATAGTTCGGTGTCGATTCTCAAACGAATTCCTATCTCTTGTTATTTGGTGAATGTGATTCTACACACGCACGCATGATAATGCTGAGAAAATATTGCTGCGCTTTTGCGAATCGAGCAAGTAATTAAAAGCACACTTAAAATCTTTTTATGTCTGCACAAACCATATTTGGCAGCTTTTTTCTTTCTCATTCATTTGACAGAGAAAGTGAGAGACGAGAGCAAACAAGTCGTTGACGTGATTATGTTTTGTATTCGTGCTGTGTCTCAGCGTCTTGTTTTCACCCGACTTTTATTTTCCTCTTTTTTAAGTGCTGTCGTGACAAAAATTTCCTATTGTTACTGTGAAAGGCGATGATGGAATTTTTCACTTACCTAAAAAATATGTTGAACCGAGTATAGAATTTGTTTCTGGAATTGTTGAACGTGTGTTTTGCAGCAAGCTTTTGAAATCACACACACACACTCACACTTAAGTTGCAGATTTTCCGTTTTGATGATGCTTCACAATTGATGATTTTTTTCTTTCTCTCTCTCTCTCTCTCTCTCTCTCTCTCTTTCTTGATTTTCCTTTTTACCTTATTTAAAATTCGATTATTTATTTTTTGTACGATCGAATGGATAGATTTATTGTTTGTTTAATCTTTTCATTAGTGGTAAAACAACTTATTCTCATTTTTAGAATTCAAATGAAAGTGATTTATATCAAATTGACTAGAACTTCACTGCAAAAAATAATAATAAATAAACAGGATCGTGTTGCTCTTTTTCTGTGATTTTTTCCTCCTCGCTATTTAAATAACGTTAAAAGTCATTGGATTTTGTTTCAATTTTTTGAGTGGAAATTTTATTTGTTCGTTATGCCTTTTCGTCAATGAAATCAAATTTATATTTTATTATTCAAATGATAAACTTTTTTTTGTCTTTTCTTCTCCGTTTTCTCTCTCGTTTGTTTTTTTTTACTGCATTAAATTTTTTCTAACCAGCATGAGATGTTGGAAACCAATTTAGAATGGAACTTATTTTTTTTTACTTGTTCGAAAAAAAATCGTATCGCAACCGTTCGAGCACCACTCTCGATTGAAAAACTTTCTCAACTGAAATACAAGATATATAATTTATTCAGTCGCATACAAAAATTAACTGCTTTATTGTTTGCTCACTGATTCGGTGGAGCTGCTGAATGCTGCTGCTTTCTCGCTTCCTCCACCTCACTGTGTGTATGCGACTGAGAAAATTGTGATGCATGTGTGTGTGTGTGTTTGGTGGTGTGTATCCTGTGTGGGGAAAATGCGCATGAGAAGTGGCAGAATGCCGCTGGTAAGGGCTTTTTTACAGTATAGACAATTGATGACGTCAGTAACAAATGGTATACAACACGACTTACGTTCAGCATACTGCACGCGCCAAACAACAACAGAAAAAAGCACTTTTCACTGTAACAATCGAGTGGAGGAAATGTTGCTCATGTGTGTTTGTCACAAATATCGTTATATATAGTCAAAAATCGTACATACATAGGTCATATACACATTTGATGCTCCTCAATATCTGAGCCAAACGAATGGAGTACAATGGGGAATGGAAAATAATACACACCGCTGAAATTGACACAAATCAAGCTCAGATGTATATTTTGTGTTCGGTGGAAATGTTCCATTTCTTTTTGTTCACAAACATGCAGTTAACAACCAACGGAATGTTGAAAGGAAATGAGAGTGGAAGTACACATTTTTACACATTTTCTTCTTGTTATTAAATCTCACTCTGTCTCTCTGATCTATCGACTGCCTTTGAACTTTTACCATCATGAAAACTATTTTGTAGCTGTCGCCGAACGAACGAACCATAAAAATGCGAGAAGAGAAAAAAAATATATGGTAGAATTGGTAACGAGAATTGGCGCAGCGCAACGAAATAAAAAGTCAATATTCAATGTAAAATAACCTGGGGGAATTGATCGAATCAAATAGAGACGAGTATTGTGCGAATGCATTCTACTAAATTTTTTTCTTTTCCTAACCACTCATCTTCATTTGTCGAGCCAATTCACAAGAATTACTAGACTGTACATGTGACAATGCATATATATGAACCGATGTAGTGGACGATAAATAATTGCGACTTTAGTCTCTTGGCTTTCAGTAAATAAAAGACTGAATTACAACAAACGATACAATTTCTATAATTGGATCTGTAATTAATTCTCTTTTTCGACTCTTTGCAATTAGGGAAAATAAATGGGAATGAACTGATGTGCGCTATGAATTCATTATGGACGGGAAAAATGTGTCGGGTTTAACAAACTGTAAAAGGGTATTATTGTTCTGTAAAAATTTTCCGCATCAAAAAATAATAAACAAACTAGCTCATACCTTTCAGTATGGCAAAATTTTATTGGATTTCATCGATTTCTATCTGACTACATTAGGAGTATTTCAAAATTTTCATCCAAGTGGATTTTTTCGTTGAAATTTTAAGAACTTTAACGCAAATTGAAGTGAGAGAGATAGCTAGAAAGTTGGGGATTTATCCATTTGTAAGATTGTTAACAAAAATGTTGACAAAAAAGGTATCATACGAAAACGAATAGATACAAAAAAAAAACAAACTATATTTGCCGAGCAAAATTAAATTAATCGCTTCATTTTCGCTGAGTATATATACCAAAGAAAAGGATGACGAAGACGCAACAAACCGTGAGCAACAAAGTTCAAATAATCAAATAGCATTAAGTCTTTTTTTTTGTACCTGTGTGTGCGCGACACAGTGAATGGGCGCGCACAGTTTGTGTCATTTCAATTGGTCCCCACACAAGCTGAAAAAAGAACTGGCATCGTGAGATAGACACACTGAATCATCATCATCATCACCATCATCGGCGTTTTGTTTGTACAAACAGGATTACACATGTATACGCGCGTACATCACCTGGCAGATTGGTTAAACTTTCGCATTTCAATTGATTGGATATGTCAGGCTGTGCTAAACATATATACATAAAAGTATATCTTTCACTCTCGACAATACAATCACTGCCATCCACATTATGCTGCACAGATACAATACGTATGCGAATATTACGGTAAGTGTGCGCTTTCGCGTGTTTTTCGATTGTGTTCGCTTAGGGTTTGGTTGTGTGCGTGTCAGTTGTGTATGTGCTTGTTTGTTGTCTGTCGCCGTCACTTTGCGTTCATTCCATAAGTGAATACAGTTGTTGTTGTTGTTGTTTTGTTATTGTTCGTGTTGGTGGTGGTGTGCCGTGCCGTTGCTGTTTGTCATTTGTTTGCTTATGTGCTGCTATTCGTTGTATTGACTTCAAAGTGTTCAGTTCTGCTTGACTTGAAAAATGAGTAAGCACAACATCAATGGTTAGTTGATTTCAAGCTATCAGAGCGTGCACACACGTATCGTTTGTTGCAATTGTGGCGTCTATCTATTAGTTCAAATCAGTCGTTTACGATCTTGTGCTGGCGTTCAACGTGCGAATATATCAATTTGAAAGCGTGTTATAGCTTTGCGAACATAAGCGAGGCAAAACCTTTTACCATCATTAGAAGTGTGTAGTCGTTTTGAATGTTCATTAGCGTGTATACAAATAAATTCATTGGGAGAATTCTCGGAAATCTGATATAATGATGAGTGAGCTTATGTTAGTGAAGAAGTGATGTGAAAAAATAGGCAAATAATTAAGCGAATATAGATGAATTTAATTTAATTCCATACGACAACAGTCGACAGACAACGACCAAAAATAAACTCATCCATGTACTCGATATTGTTGCTATGGATAATTATTTAATTATCGAAAATAAAATTCATGCGTAAATCAATAACGAACACACAAAAAAGTCAAAACATATTCAGTTTTAACATATATCTATAACAAAAACAAATAAAATTGTGCGGTGAATGAAGAAAAAACCCACTTGACATTTAATTTGAGAGTACAAATTTCTCAGAAACTTAAATTGGGCGAACCAAAATAAAAATTTCCACAAAGAAACACAGAAAAAAAAACGAATTAAAAACAAGTCAGAAAAGACGTGAAAAAAAAACATTTTTTTCATAAACAAATGAAACTTACCGCGTCTTAATTTATTTGACACTCTCACATAAAAGCGAATTGTGAACGCGAACCGCGCGAACGTATATAAACTGATCTTTGTCTGACACAAGTAGCACGCCAACCAACGGCTCTCTCTCATTCATTAAAAAAAAAAACAAACACACGTCGGAGATTTACATGCATGTATTGCGTATGCAAGATTCTAAGAAATTATCATTTCACTTTAATTTGAGTTGCTGTTTTTGTTTTCGTGCAATTGTCTGTTCATTCATTCGTGTGTTATTTTGTCATTATTTCGTCTCATTTTAACTGCGCCTGTTGAAGTGATAAAAACTATAGAAAAGAGATAACCGTATTGTGGTGAACGAAATGAGCTTAACCAACAAAGATATTGGCAATTCAAATCTTTTGTGTATCGTTAAATGTGTATGAAATCAATCGTTTCGACTCATTTCATTTGGCATAATAAAAAGAAGTAGAAAAATTTATGTTAAAATCAAATAAATAATATATAAAATCCGTTCCAATTTTCCGCCCGGTTCAATAAAATTACACAGAATTGACTCGAATTATAAATAAATTTGTCGGTCGATTTGAATTACTTGTCGTGTGTGCGTGTGTTTGTAAGTGATATTTATATGTAAACAAAAGAACAGCAAGTTCAAGCGCAAATAATAGAACGACAGAAAAAAACACATATATAAAGCAGAAAAAGAGCAAAATCATTATTAAAGACTCAGTCATTGTATCAAATTCATCGTCAAATTCAAAGAAACGAATGACAAAAAATCCAAACAACACAGAAATTAATACAATAATACAATCCGGACACATGAATATTAAACATTTCATGCGAAAAGCAAATCAATAAAACCAACACATCATAAACAACAACCTTTTTTTTAATTCAAGTAATAAATTCGAATTTATCAACACAAAGTAATTAAAACGCATAGACATGGCTGGAAAAAGTGTGATTTCGTTAGATGTATTCATTGTAGTTTTACTGATAACTTGTGATAAATTTGCTTCAGCCATAAACGAATGTCAAACGCATCAATTTTCAAAATCGATAAATTCAACGCAAATGCAATTCACAAAGGAGGCCGTCAGCCGTGAATACGCTTTGAACGGACAGTTCAAAAGTTTGCAGTGTTGCGTTAAGTCCTACCGAAGCATCGAATGGTAAGCTATCAAAATTTATTTATCTCTTTTATTATTATATTTGTGATGATAACGGCATTTCTGATAGAATGCACACACAGCATTCGCAAATCGAATTTATGTTTATTTTATTTTATTTTGCTTGGTTATAACAGAATTGTGCATTTTTTCTCTCTCATCTAAATCGAATTATAATACATTGTAGATTATTTTATTTGGTTTATTCCGCTTGAATTCAGCAGAAAAATCCATAACAAAAACAACTGAAAAAAAAATGGAATCAGTCTTTTTCTGTATATAGAAAATTAATTCTATTATTATTAAGTTCGATGAATACCTTCCGGTGTTGCTTTACATCGTTTTTGACGTGGTATTTCCATTTAAATTCTCTCTTCATCACTTCATTCACTCTCATATACTATATGAATTATAGATTGTATTGTGTATGGGTCTGTGTTCTCTCGTTTCTCTTCAATGCAACACATTAATGAATATGTTGGAAATAATAGCGAGTCATCAAGACAATGGTTACTGTAATAAAGTTTTTCAGTTGAAATGTGAGCCACCTTTGCTGCTGTGCATTCAAGTGCAAATGTAAAATTTGTTGTTACGAAAAGAGACACAAATTTTACTATATATGCTTACAGTAAATGATTTGTTCTTTTCGTTTTTATGGAAAAGTGACGGTTCATGAGAAACGAATCTAGTTACATTTCCAAAAAATTGACATACAAATTGCACCATGTATCCGTTGCTGAGTGAAGAGTCAAAACAGTAATTAAATATGAACATTTAAATGAATGGTTTGGTTGATTGTTTTTTTTTTTTTTGTGTGTGTTTTTTGTCTTTTGTTCTCTATTTCTATTTCATTTGGCGTTTGCTTTTATATATAAATTGTATCCGCTTTACGGGTTGTCATTGCAAGGGAAATGTAACAACGTAATTGTTAGCTTTGCATTTGCATACGAGTTGAAATAGACGGTTAGTGTAGCAAAAGATGTTCAATTATATTGAATATTATACTGTAGGAGTGTTCTTGCGTACCATTGTTAGTAAGATGTCACGAAAGCATTGTTCAATTATTCCTCTATCTTTTTCGCTCATTGTATGATTTAGTAGTGGCAAACTGCATTTTTAATGTACGATTGCAAATTGCAAACACACCGTCATGACAACAATTTTAACTTGTTCATGAAACACCAACGGTAGCGGCGCAAACGCTATTGGTGAACACAGTTCCGTTCAATGTGGATGTGAACGCGCATAATTTGGGCGATACTTTGTATATATGTATTGGTGAATTGTTGTCATTCAATATATGCTGTGAAAGGCATCATGCAAATTTTATCAGCATAAGCGACAACTTGAAATTGTTAATAAATGAAACATCTACATAATTGTTTTACTCCTCTTTTGTTTGTATTTTTGTTTTTTTTTTTTTTTCTGTTGTTTCTTTGTATTTCCACCAAACATCGTAACGCTTGTAATAAGCGGATTTCGTCGGTGTAATTGCTTCTCAATCAGTCATTTAACAAAATGCCATCGCCTATACAATACACTCCAGCCGAGTAGGCAACGTCTTAATGGGCCGTAATCCTTGTTAGGTTTGTATTCGTGTGTGTGTGTATGTATATTTTTCTTCGGCTCTTGCCTAAGTGTTTCTTTTTACAGCCGATTCTTTAGTTCAGTCTGTGAAAAGTCTACATGATTATGCATGTTGAGACGCATTGAAGTATGCAAACGAATACAAAAATGAAGGTAAAAAAGAAAACCGATTTCAAGACAGAACCAGCAACAACAACAATAAAATAAAGCAAAGCCAACGACAAGAGTTAACCGAATGCATATCCAAAGTGGAAAAAAGGCAGCACATTTTTATGCATGTTCATTTCTTCAGCTTGATCTCATTGTCGGTATTGTTTCTGCCGTTAAATCTCAAGTGGATTCAAGGTGCCTTTTTTTCATTTTGCTCCTCTCAAACGATCAATTTTTCTCTCGTTATCCTATTGTGTGGCGCATTGTGTTTTTCATTTCGTTCGCACACTCAAACACATTCGCTTACCGATACCACTTTTTTTTTTATCTCATTCCGTTTTTCTTCGTAAAATAGCCCATTGTATGACTCTCTCACAAATGCACATGAAAACGATGAACAACAAACCAAAAAAAACACAAAATAAAATGCTGCACATTCACTGAATTGATGGCACAATAGAATTCAATTGTTACTTCATTGGAACAAAAGGTGGGCTGCATTCTGCAGACCCGTTGTACGTTTTGTGTTCGCAGTAGTTGCATTGCTACGGATGCAGATATTCATGATAATAAAATACTTGGAATTTTCATGTAAAAATACTGACCGAAGACCCGATGCGACAATTGCTGCATACTGATTGACACCAAACCAGAATAAATTCGAAAAAGAAAGAGAGACTCAGAAATAAATTACTTCGATTGATCCAAATGGTATGCACTGTTCTGTATTTTCAAAAGAATATCCTCCAGCATCTCTCATTGAATGTAATGCCAATCAATTGTACAAAATCACACCATTCTCTGTCAATCCCATTCGCACCAACTTAGAAAACCAGCTTCACTTTGTTCCAAAAACTAGACATTTTTAACTATTATACACTTAATTTAATGACCAATTTTCGGTGAACTCTGAAAATGTCATCAATTCTTTTTTAGCTCAGAAAATAATCTATAAAAATTGTACGCACACACTTCAATTTGCAATCGCAGAAGTAATGGGAGTTTAAATATGTATAGCCACGCATCAAATGTGATTCATTCATGGCGGTGAATTGGCAAACAGTATTTGACCTACATCAATGCTCGTATGTTTTACATCTTTCTGTAATGCGGTGTAAAAACATTGTTCGAACATTTTTCTCGGTGTCTTCTTTGCAACTATATTTTCGGGGAGGTCCGTATGGAATTTGTCTCAAAACATTCCACATTTACCAATCATGTTCGATTTTTGTTTGCTAATTTTACTCTTTTTTCATGTAATGGATATGCGAAAAATGTGATCGCGAATTTGTGAGTTTTTTTTTCTTCAAATACCACTTTAGTTTTTCTGATGTATTGAACTTTATTGTCTCCCACATGGAACGAATGACGTGATTTGCATTATGAGTGAGAAAAAGAAACAAAATGCAATCGCAAAAACTTCAACAGAATTAGAAACCAAGCTTAACGCCTCAGAGTGAAGATGCCTTTATTCACCAATGTTTTTTTTGTCTCGTTTCATTCTCCGCAAAAAATCGTCGTTAAAAGATGCCAACCATCATTTTTTTTCGTTCATCGACATTTCGGAGAAAAGAACAAAATCACATTCAATTTGGGAGCTAGAATTTAGCATATAACGAAAGATGAATAAACATATGCCATGCGTATGTGTGTTATTCGAATCCTTTTTTTTTATCTAGAATTCCCCGAATGTCTGGTGTTGCAGAGTGTTGATTGAAAAATGATTTTAAGTCGTTTACCTCTTGTTAAATATCTGTTGGTGTGTTAATCCCATTTTGTGCTGTGCAAAACTTGTCATGCATCTATTCATAATCTTAATATGTGTGTTTGTGCGTGCGTGTTTGTATTTGTGTAAGTTGTTGTGTTTGTTTTAAAATGCCAAATATTCCTTCATTTCATAGAGTTGATCGTTTCATTATATGTTTTGGGTGCAAATCGGTATACTTACCGTTTGCACGCTCATTAAGCAAAAATACAAAATGCATGCTACAGATTTACGATGGCCAAATCATTTAGACAAAACACAATGGATCAAATGCAGAGAGTCCAGCTATAAAGCAAAATGAACAAGACAACTAAATGAAAATAAGATAGCAACAGCAGCAGAAGTGAAAAGAGAAGCGAAAAAAAAAAGAAACGAAGCGCATACAAGAATATACCGACCAGCATAAGCACTCACGGGACCGATGTGCAGCAAAAATTTAAAGTGCTGATGAACAGCAAAAGAGAAAAAAAGACGAAGTAAAAAAAACAACGACAGAGAAATGAACACATAAAACAGAATAGAAAAAGTAATTGAGAAACGAAAGAGAGAAAGAAAGAAAGAAAAAAATGAGAGAAATAAGAACGGCACAAAAAATGAGTAATTTTCGTTTGGACTCCAGAGCTGTATTATTAATATTTTCCCAGAAACACTTCGATCTTTACTACCGAGAATTGAAATCATTTCTTTTCTCCCCTTCTCTATCTCTTTCTCTCTCCCTCTCCCATTCTATTTTGCTTTGCTTCAGCATGGTTTTAATCACTTTGGTGCCTTGTTCATCTTATTCACAAGAATTGCTGTGTTCGGCATTTTTTCTCTTCTTCTCTTTCAGTCGTCGTCTTTGTCGTTTTTTTTTTATTTTATTTTTCCTTCCTCTCCACTGTGTCTTATCTCCCATATTCTTGTCGGCTCTGTGCTATGGTGCTGTGTGCGCTTTTGCTTTTGTTATTTGTTATGTGGGTATCATTGGACGAGTGCACACGCAGTAATACACGTATCATGTTGTCTTATTTTACACCTCTATTAAACTGCTGCTTCATGTATGTCGCAGCTGTTCACATCACAAATAGTGTGTTCAAATTGATGTAAGTTGTTCTGCTTTTTGAGTGCGTGAGCGTATGCATTAAATGTGTATGCTCAAAGGTGAGCTGAATGATGTGTACTGTTTACCTCTGAACCTTCGCCGAATGCTGAAAACAAAGGCAAACAAAAAAAAAACAATTCAACAACATAAACACCTTGATTTTCACCTAAAAAACCTTGAATCATTGACTTTGGTTTATTGCAAATTTTTCAATTGCAACAGAATGAGGTCCCTTTTTACTTGACAAAAAGAGATATAATTTTGTCACTCAATGCTCTTGTTTGTTCTGGAACATTGTACGTTGTCCTTGAGTTTCTGTACCGCTGAGTGGGTCGTACAGCGCCACAAATATTGCTCCATCTGCCGCTGATGCTGATGTTGATGTAATATATGAGTGTTTCTATCTTCCACGAAATTTCC